CTGGGCTTAGGAGGTGTGAACTCGCATATAAGACCCGCCTCACGGCATTCGCTACATATCGGCGTTTCTTTTGGACACTACAGATACAATCAGTCAGCAAAAAACACAGTTTCCAGAGATGGGCAGCTGTATCAATGGCTCATCAACTCACCTTTACCCTGCGCTGTTTACACTGAACGCAGGAAGTCCTTGACTTGGCCGGGCCTCGGCGCCTCGTTTTCTTGGCCTCTCCATCAGTCGTTGCTTCTCCAGTCGCCCCATCATCGCCATTACTAGCAGTCTGCTGTTTCTTTCGACTCTTTTTCGTAGGTGTGGGAGTTGCTGTTTGCAGTGCCAGGCCACTGGTTGTAACCGGACCAGATGGATCTTCTTGCACATTACTCTGAGCCGCAGGCGCAGATGAACAGTCTCGAGAGGGTGGCTGAGCAGAGCCTTCCTTACTGCTGGGATGCACGATGCGTAACCGCTCTGCACCGTACCTAATCAGCATATTAAGTGACTCCTTTTGCAGATCTGGAGATTGATTCGCAAAGATGTTGAACTGCTCCGGGGAAAGTGACTCTGGGTCAACGGCCGCCTGCTGAAGCATGGCCACGGCGACATTTCGCCGTCTCTCAGCCTCTTCAGGCGTAACGTTGATAACAAGCTGGCCCGCTGCGGAATTTTGAGCCGTCTGATCAGCCTGGGCTTGCTGCTGCTGTTGGCCGCCATTCGCTTCTCCTTCAGCCTGGCCGGTGAGTAAAGAAGGATCAATCTCCGTTGCGCCTTGCTCCTCAGAAACACCAGCGTCATCCGTTTTCCTCTTTCGTTTTCTCGGTTTTTTGCCCTCGCCATTGGTCGCATTGTCGGTATCTCGCTTTTTCCTCTGTGCGCCTGGCTGTCTCGGCGCTTTGGCTTTCTTTTCTGCTGTAGGAAGAGCGCGTCGTGGTATCAAAGGTTCATACAAGGCTGAAAGCTCCGCTACTGTCCGGTGGAGTGGTAAATGGTCGTATTCGATCGATACAGTTCTAGATTTGCGAGAAAAAGAAATTGTAATGGAACCTCGACAGTCAAAAGCAGGTCGGCCTGAAATTTTGCTGCGTTAGCAGAGGCACACCAAATATTCGCAAAAGCAAAGTCGAGATAGCAAAACGGCAAGACGTGTGAAATGCCATTTAGCATTATGCGGCGGGACATGTTATCGCTCAGCGCTTACTTCCTAGCAGGGGATCAAGTTCCCTGTGTGAATAGTCTGCAACCAGCGTCTTCAGCTGGCTCTTGTTGTGTCGCTGCCAGTGCTCCATGGACCCTTTGCAGATAAAGGTAAAAATCCAGCCGTTTGCGCCTCGCGACGAATCTCGCAGCGCCCACTCGCTTCCATCGACCTGCCCAACTCCCCCAGCAATATGCTTTGCGACAGACGTCTGCAGCACCGGTTCGTCGGACGACTGGTTCATCACAGCCTCATTCACGAGCACCACGCGGGCGACCTGGCCTCCATCAGCGTCCGCAGAGGTGCCCGTCGGCAGAGCGCCTCCCAGCGAAGGGTCCAGCGCGCCCAGTCCCTCCAGCACATTGTTCTCGCTCGCGGACACTCCAAGCGTCAACTCGGCCGAGGCTGCGAGGTCCAGCCTTGTCGCAACCCGCTCGGCTCGAGTGGCGGTGACCTTGCCGTCGAAAACATCGCGAAGCTGCAGCTGCAGCTCTTCGAGGCCAGTGCACGAGCGGCTGTCGAGCTCGGGCTCCTCCTCGCGGAAATTGAAGCTGGCGAGAAAATCCGCCATTGATGGCTCGCCCCACGGCTGGGGGAGCGATTGCGCGCCGCAGCCGAGGTGATCAGGGCGTCGGTTTGAGTCGGTTTTCTGCTGCAGAGTCGGGCTGGGCTGGCAGCGTGTCGTGGGCAGTGGCAGCGGGTTCGCCTGTAACCATGGTGGATTTGGTGATGGTGATGTCGAGCTGCGGTGGCCGAAGCAAGAGGCGCTGGTAGCGGAGTCCCAACACCCGGGGGGTGTGAGCAGGCCATCACGCGTCAAATACAGCCCCACGGTCCCGGCCCGCGTATCTGCGCTGAGTGCAGCCTCGTCCATTGTGAACCACTCCATTGCTATTGGCAGTGGCAGCAGCGGCTGATTATAATAACAATACCTGTAGTATTATCCGCAACAATTGCTATAAAAGGACATTTGTATCCTTTGAACAGGATACATCTTTCACTTCACATGCCGTACGAGATTCATTCACACATCGTGCCACACGTCAGAAGCAAAAATCCTTCAGCTCCTTCACTCAGCTGAACCCAGCATGAACTGAGCGCCATGTGGAATAGACAATGCAACATTTCCCTTGCCTTAATCCCTCAAAGGTGACTGGCCAGTGCATTATACATTTCATAATTGTATCTAACATATTAAGTCCACTTGATGCCCCTGCAGATGCAAACTACTGCCGTGCGGCATCTCATCTCACCTCTTAGCTGTTTTCCTCCACCCACTGCTCAATCCTCTCCACAAGATCGGCCTTTTTACCGCTCGTGCTGAGGCCCTTGGCACCTGCTACGTCCTTCAGCTGCGCCACTGTCATCTTCGATAGGCCTTCGCTCTCAACTGCGGCCTTCAATTGCGCCATGCTAAACGTCGATCCGCTAGGCCGTTCTGCACCCGCCTTTCTCTGCTTCGCGGGGCGCTCTGAGACATTGTCATCTTCTACTTCTCGTTTCAACGACCGGGATCTCGCGGCTCTATCGGCTTCATCCTTCAGTGTCTCGGCCCAGTCCTCCAAATAGCCGCCAGCACGCTTGTTGATGGCTTTGTTTTTAGGCTCAGTCAAGTCTTCGGGCTTGTCTGGCACCTCTTCATCCAGAGCGAGTGTCTGAAGAATTTTATAATGCCACTGTAAAGCTGGATTGGGGTATTTCAGCGGGTTGTACACCCCTTTGGGAAGATTGAGCTGCTGTACAACCACTCTCATTTTCGTCTTAAGATCCTCAGAGCAGTCAAGCCCCCGCTCGGCACTGACGTCTCGTAAATCGTCAGCGGTAGGGAGCGGACAAATCCAAAGTCCGGCTGGCAGATATGGAGTGCCAGAGCCCTCATCAGACTGCTCTCTCGATGGAATTACAGCGGCAAGCACTGGTTGTGAGTTTGACCGCAACACACACCAGGCGATGGCTATCTTCTCACTGTCCAGCAACTTCTGCCAGAGGGCCGAAAATACGCGTGACGACCCGATGTAATCTTCTTCACTTGGGAAGATGAAGGTGGATTTCTTAACGCTCGCCCAGGCGGGAATCAAGTTGCGATTCTTGAAACCGATGATTCGAATGACTGGGGGGCCGTAGTCTCGAATGCTTTTTTGCTCTTCGGGTGTAAAGTATACATACTCGCCACCAAATTTGTAGGCCTTCTTAATCTCTTGTTTCTCGACGGTTCTCGCGCTGTCTTCTGCAACTCGTGTTGTCTCACCTGTTGCGATTTGGGCTTTTTCTCCGTCAAGCCAGATATAACATGTTCGCGCCGGAGTCTGGCGACTCACAACATTGTATCCTTTGACAGTTATCCGCAGCCCAGGGGCGATCTCAAAGGGTAGATGGAAAAGAGCTCTCTTGGGCGACTGCTTAGAGTTGATATTGGAAATTAGGGAATTTAGGAGAGACAGCCCATCGCCAGACTTGGAAGTTCGAACTTCAGTGCCATTGGCTTCGGCATTCACATCACGGTAAACGATGTCCTTGATTCATATTAGCACCATGGTAGAACTGCGGGGGAAAGATGAGTCAAGATAAAATGCATACATCATAAAACTTGCCAAGGTCAAAATTTGACTCTCCTTTGGCAATTGGGAATAGATCGATTGTAATCCCCAAGTCGTATAAATCTTTTGCTCGAACAGCAGCAGCGGATCTCGCCGCCTTATCTGATGCGTGTGGGTCGTCGTTATCAGTTACGATGAATAGTCGCCGGCTACCAAAGTTGGCTGCCTTTGTCGTAAATATCTGATTGGCGCAAAAGAGAACATTTGACATGGAAACCACGTCGGTAGTGGCCGGCTTCAGCACTTCACCTTCGTCTTCTTCCTCTTCGACCAGCGCCCTCAGAGCTTTGACATCGTCGGCAGCAGGAACATCAAGATCTGTGAAGAGGTAGCAATTCGGATACCCAAGGCCGCCGCGGCCATCTTTATCATCTCGGAATTCGGTCTTTTCCGTTCCAAAGAGAAGAATTCCCATCATATCTTTAGGGTTGGAAATGATGCGCTGCTCCATCAGATGGTGGGCGCATTTCAAGGCAGCTTGGAGCGGGCTGTCCTGATCAGCTTTCTTAGAGCTGGAAGCCGGAGGAGGCTCAAGCATTGATGGGCTGACTTCAATGGCTAGCAATACGGCGTCTTTCTGTGCCTTGAAGCTCTGGACAAGCAATGTCAGTGAGATGGTCCCCTGCCCAAGTAGATGCGACTTACAGATTCATCAAGCTCCTGCTCGCCGTCCTCGTCCTCGTCGTTCTCTTCCCTTTTCCAGTCTCGTTGTTTATCTGCCATTGTGAAGAATGATTACAATTGAACGATGACAGATGACTTGTCCGAATTCACAGAATGTCTTTTACATCGCTCACAAGTCCAACTTATTGAGCGAGAGCCAGGCAGCCACTCGACCCAGTCGCCAATGTGGATTCACTGCGCGACCAACAGCTCCCAGGCAAACGCGACAGGCCTAGGCCGAATGCGACGGGATCCGCGAAGTCACGTGATGCGCATCCGAAATACCCATAGTCTAATTGGCCGACGCTTGGGTGGGCTCTGCTAAAAAGATACCTGTTTCCGAGGGTGTACCGAGTAGACCGGCTGCATGTGCTGCAAGTAGCGTCCTAGCAGAATGTCAGGATGATGCTCGATTGCCACTCTCGGAGCTTGCATCCGTGATCTCGGCGCATCGGTGTCTGGCTGTCACAAGTATTCAATTGGAGCTCAATTCCTTCCGCAGTCGAGGATTTTCCCCTCGTCAACCTCCCCAGAACCAGTATCTCGCCATGGCATCAAGAATTTCCACGAGACAATTCGCCAGGGGCCTTTCCCGAGGCTCGTCATCTCCTCTTGTCTCTTCACAGCTATCGAACCATGCCCGGTATTTGGCTACCCCAGCCCATCCCGTGACGCAAGATGCGACGGGCTCCAAGGGACCAACGGCCATGGTCTTTCTCAACATGGGCGGACCTTCTACGCTCCCTGAAGTAGGAAGCTTTCTAAGTCGACTTTTTGTATGCCACTTTCCACATCATTTACTTGGTGTTATTTCGGTGACGTGGTGCTAATCATGGGTTGAACAGGCCGACGGTGACTTGATTCCATTGGGCAGACTGCAGTCATATATCGGGCCATTGATCTCGGCGCGAAGAACACCAAAGATCGTGAAGCAGTATGACGCTATTGGAGGCGGCTCACCGATTCGAAAATGGTCAGAGTACCAGAACGAAGAAATGTGCAAGATTCTGGACAAGATCTCGCCGGAGACTGCGCCGCACAAGCCATACGTCGCTTTCCGCTACGCAGATCCATTGACCGAGGAGATGTATCACAAGCTGCTGGCAGATGGCTTTGGAAATGGCAAGGGTGGCAGAGCTGTCGCCTTCACCCAATATCCGCAATATTCCTGCTCCACGACCGGCAGCAGTCTCAACGAGCTGTGGAAATGGCGCCAGAGACTGGAAGGCAAGACGGCTTCAGAAACTGGCAATGGTACCATCAACTGGAGCGTCATTGACCGGTGGCCTACTCATCCTGGCCTTGTGGAGGCGGTTGCCCAGAATATCGAAGCAAAGTTGCTAGAGTACCCCGAGGAGCGGAGGAGCAAGGCCATTCTCCTCTTTTCAGCGCACAGCTTGCCTATGACAGTAGTCAACAGAGGTAATTCTCTTATATCCTCTTGTTTCCCCTTTTTCTTTCCCATACTGACTAGTCGAATAGGTGACCCATATCCGGGCGAAGTTGCCGCTACTGTTCAAGCAGTGATGGAACGACTAAAGTTTTCCAACCCTTACAGACTATGCTGGCAATCGCAGGTCGGCCCGCAGCCTTGGCTGGGACCCCAGACGTCTCACACGGTGGAAAACTACATTGAAAAGGGCCAAAAGGACCTGCTTCTCATTCCCATTGCATTCACCTCTGACCACATTGAAACGCTCTATGAGCTCGACATTGAAGTCATTGGTGAGAGCGGCCACACTGATACCGTCAAGCGAGCGGACAGCTTGAACGGCAGCCCGGTGTTCATCAAAGGGCTTGCGGACCTCGCAAAGTCACATCTTGATTCTGGGGTGGCGTGCTCGCAACAGATGGGCCTCCGATGTCCCGCATGCAAGAGCGAGAGATGTGCAGAATCCAAAAAGTTCTTTGCTAGCCAGCAGGCCGCGATTTCGTCCGTATAAGGTTGATTATAGCAGCTGGGTCAGGAAAAAAGAAATATGGGGTGGGTTTGGGAAAGCATAGTATCTGCAATACTAGTATATACCACCAGTCCACCTCCTCATCGTAATAGCCAATGGTACAGATCCTGTACTTCGTTTCAAAAATTAGATAGGGACTGAGTTGTAGGCAAAGGGCGTTGTAGGTATAAAGTCGGCATACCGTATAGACTTGATAGACATAATCACCACCCATGGCACAAATGCGCGCGTAGCTCGGCAATTCATGGTTACAAGCCCGATTTTCCACGCCTGAGTGGCTGCAGAATGTGGACATCTCGATCCGATGATGCCCCGTCAGAGGAGCTCCATACTCTCGGTATGCAATCATCCGGCCGAGTCCTGTTCATACGAAGATAAAGACGCTTCAGTTGAAGCATATACTCCATGTTCATACAAGCAGATGCGGCGCAGCTTACAGCACCTAGAAAGACGGGACGCTGACCTCTAGGCGCAGATGTCTAGCTGCAGATGGTGGCTGGAATACGATCCCGTCCGCTGCAGCTCACTGGCCAGTCACGGTAGAGTGTGGCCATATCTCAGCAGAGATGCTCCGGTGACACCACCTGCCTAATTGTATCCCGTCTGATAAGCCAGTCATGTTTACATAAGGTACATTACGGGCGTACAGCAGGCAGAACATCTGACGGCGTAGACATGAAAGAAAAGACGATCATACTCTTACAGTAAATGCACAAAACACCGAGCAAAAGAGAAGAGAGAAAAGGCAAAGACGCACTACCGATGGAGCCACTTTCTCTTCACCATGTGGGGATGAGATTGTCTTGCGTGTGGGGCGCTCCCAGACGGCTCTAATTTTAATTCTTGTGTAGATCATATGTGAGGAGGCAAAAGCTGCTAGGCTGTCAGTGGCTGGCGGTTATCGTGTGGATGTCGTGTTTCTGCAGGCATCATGCACGCGGCCGTATTCTCTTTGGTTTCTTTGACCTAGATATCGATGTATGAAAAGGCGAGCGTTGATGTCTTACTGTACGCCATCCAATACGATGGTCGATATGCTCGCTTTTCCGGGTTATAGGCCGCCAGCTCAATGCTCTGTAGCTTCAACATGTTAACATTCACATGCCGCACCAAGAAAAACAAAAGCTTGTCAGAGAGCGTCGTCAGGGAATTCGATAAACATTTCCAAACCAACAGTGTTCACTGTCCATGCATACTACCTGCAGCAGCATCCCAGAGCTGATGGACGTTCCATGCTACCCTGCAATTCTGAAATAGGATACTACCAGATTTCAATGTCTTGGATATTAATTACTGCTCCCAGTAGATACTACTGCGTCGGATATTAGCACGCGCAAGGGTACTGGGCATAGGGTTCGCGAGGCCTTGCCAGTGAGCCGTTGTCGTTGTTTCACAGCAGTCGCTACATTATCCCAGCAGTTCCAACGCAGAACTGCAATTTGGTTCGACATTGGCGACAAGGAGACTGTCTCAGCCGACAGAGATGTTCCGGGAGTTTGTTCCTCGGAACGTGACCCGGACGCCTTTATTCCGTTGATGACTGACACCTCGTTTGGTAGTGCAGACGGGCAGCGCCTGGCGTGGCAAATGAAGAGTGAGCTTCCCAGCCTATAAATAGCAGGTAGGCATCGCAGGCAATAAGCAGACGTTATGCTTGGGAAGCCGCAATACGAGCAAAGGAGAAGCGCGAGTGCGGAGCAATCTGGTGGAAAAAGAAGCACATGGAGGCTGGAGCTCCTGAAATTAAGTGATATACGGAGTACATTAGGCACTGGTGCTAGCATTGCCGTACCTGGCCGGTACCTGTACTCGGACCATGTCACGTCGTTCCGGGTGACACTTGAGATTTGATTCGCGCGTTCCGAGACGAAGCCATAATTTTGCCAGCTCGGTCAATGCCGCGTCTCTGGCCCCTTCGAGTCTAAGGCAAGCAAACGGCAGAAACCTTTTTGAGTTTTTCAGCCACCTGCATGGCGCTTCTATATCCTCAGGGTCCAAAGCAAAAAGTACTAGCACAGGTAACTCTAAGACAACATCGGCGTCTTGCTCCAGCCAAGTACCTAGGCCAAGCCCGATCCGTGAGGCGCCACAGAGCAGCGGGTTGTGTGGCTGCGGCCAATTAGCGGCGCCCTACCGCAAGCCATGCCCTGGACCTCTGCTAATTGTCCAGCGCACCAGGCCATCGGTCCCCTGGCGGACTAGGCCTATCGCGGCCTAGCCCGCTAATGCACCCCCTTTTACCATATTTACCACGCCTGGTTTGAAGCGAGCAGCTGCTAACACTGCTGGAAGCTCGTATGCCAGCAGCGGTCGCAGTGTATTACAGGCACAGCAGCAGCCGTAGCACGAGTACCCGTACCCCGAGCCCCGTGGCAGCAGCGGCGGCCAGTCGCGTACCGATACCACTGTAATTCAATTCAGGCCAGTGGAGTCGCTGCTCTCCCCAGGGGGTCGCTGCCGCAACTGCTGCACAGTCTGGCCCGGCCAAGGAACTCAGAAATTCCTCCCCGTCATCACCCCCGAAATTATCTTCCTCCTCAAACTTTGGCCTCGTTGCACTTCACTTCACTTCTTCACTCCTCCCGTCATTGCTACTTCCCCTCTGGCCGGTTGAGCGCCTTGACATTTGTTCTTTCAATTCACCGCGGTCGTTTCTGCCTCTTCAACACTATTTCTTCGAGCCCATTGACACGCGTCGTTATCTGCTTAGGGTCTCAGCGCATTTTCTCCTTTGGTAGGTCCTTTGCCCGCTCGTTTCCACTCGAATCTCGTGCACGGCGCCAGCAGCACAGCTTCAGAATCTTGGCCAGAGCCAGAGCCGCGCCGAGGACGCCCTCTTCGGTTGCTTTCCCCCACGCGCGCGAGCTGCTGCCTCCCCTCTCCTGGAGCTTGAAGCCACGAAGCTGCTGCTGTCGACGTGGCTCCTGGCTGTTCTGCGGCACTCCACCTCCCTGAGATGGCCTCACAGCTAACCAATCGCGTAGACACTCGTGCCTTCTTACCATTCTTTATTTAACCTTTCTTCGGACGCTCTTTATACATCACTATGGGTAAGATATTTCCTTCTTTGGGCTGTGCATGGCTCTGCGTGCATCGTGCAGGCGGCGAGGCAAGAGGCAATCTGGACGTGCCACGAGGCGCTTCACCACGGCAGCGGCCTTGAGCAACACGAAGCATTGGTGCCTCCTTTTCCTACACACAACAACTTTTCGCGTTCTTCTTCCCGTAGCCACATTTCGTTCCTCACCATCTACTGTTTCTTGGGTCGCTTTTTTTGGGCAAAGCAACAACATTTCCGCTCCTTCAAGTACAAGTTCCTTGTATCCGATTTTTTGTAATTCGACATGACGTTCGATCTGGTTCACCAAGTCAAATCGCGGGCTCGCAGCCTCCAGCTCGACAAAAGCACTCTGTCGCCGGCAATGGTTGCTCTGGAACAAGTTGCGTCACATGCTCAGTCAACGAAGCGACTCAGCAGCCTGTCATCGAATGGACAAACTGCAACAACCAGCATTCCGGTGCCCGCATTTGTTCCCGCAACCATTCGCCGCTACCGCAGTATGCTGGAAGTTGAGGAGCCGCCCAAACTTGGACCCCTGAACCCAGTGTCTTTCGAAGAACTATACGCAACCCCCTTGCAATCTTCCATGGGATCTTCTGATGATTACGACCCGAGCTCTGTCCAGTCAACGAGATCATGTTCTGAGAACACGAGTCTGCCGGCTACGGTTGAATGCCGAGGAGCTGAGTTGTCCAGTCAGATGCCTACAGATTCTCGCCTCTCGCCTTGCCATGCACAATCATGTACGATAGTCACAAAATCAAGAGGGCTAACACTTGGTTTATTTAGCTTCCAACGGTGCCGAATCACCACAGGGCGTGGCTTCGCCTCCTCCTGGTAAGTCTCGTGCTTCGGTACGCAATTTGCAGCATGGCTTTGTTTCTAACTTTAACACAATAGTCTCTCCTGCGATCGCCGCCGCTGCTGACAACAAGAACATTGTTCGACGAAAGCTGACTGGCTATGTTGGATTCGCCAACCTCCCCAACCAGTGGCACCGTAAGAGTGTGCGAAAGGGTTTCAACTTCAATGTGATGGTTGTTGGTGAATCTGGCCTGGGCAAGTCGACCCTCGTCAACACTCTTTTCAACACGTCTCTGTACCCCCCCAAGGAGCGCAAGGCGCCTAGCCTGGACATCATTCCCAAGACTGTCACCATCCAATCCATCAGTGCCGATATCGAGGAGGCCGGCGTCCGCCTGCGCCTGACCGTTGTCGACACCCCCGGCTTTGGCGACTTCGTTAACAACGATGAGTCTTGGCGCCCTATTGTCGACAACATTGAGCAGCGCTTCGACGCCTACCTGGACGCTGAGAACAAGGTTAACCGAATGAACATTGTCGACAACCGAATCCACGCCTGTGTCTTCTTCATCCAGCCTACTGGCCACTCGCTGAAGCCCTTGGATATCGAGGTTATGCGACGCCTTCACACCAAGGTCAACCTTATTCCTGTCATTGCCAAGTCCGACACCCTGACGGACGAGGAAATTGCCAGCTTCAAGGCCCGAGTAAGTTGAACCTCACTCTCTTTTTGACGTGTAGCGGTTTTGATAGCATGGGATGATTTGCTAATGTGTACGCTTCTCCAGATCCTGGCCGATATCAAGTACCACGGCATCCAGATTTTCGAGGGCCCCCGATATGAGCTCGATGACGAAGAGACCATTGCCGAGAACAACGAAATCATGTCCAAGGTCCCCTTCGCCGTTGTTGGCGCCACCAACGAGATCAAGACTGCTGATGGCCGCAAGGTCCGTGGTCGTGAGTACCCCTGGGGTATCATCGAGGTTGACAACGAGGAGCACTGCGACTTTGTCAAGCTTCGCCAGATGCTCATCCGAACACACATGGAAGAGCTCAAGGAGCACACCAACAACACCCTGTACGAGAACTACAGAACCGACAAGCTGCTCGCCATGGGTGTTTCCCAAGATCCTAGTGTATTCAAGGAGGTCAACCCTGCCGTCAAGCAGGAGGAGGAGCGTGCCCTACACGAGCAGAAGCTCGCCAAGATGGAGGCCGAGATGAAGATGGTCTTCCAACAGAAGGTGGCGGAGAAGGAGAGCAAACTCAAACAATCAGAAGAGGAGCTCTACGCACGCCACCGGGAAATGAAGGAGCAGCTCGATCGCCAGCGCCTAGAACTGGAAGACAAGAAACAGCGCGTCGAGAGCGGGCGACCGATAGAGAAGGAGGGCAAGCGAAAGGGATTCTCTCTGCGATAAACCAGTCCCAATGCCTCCCCCTGCTCACCACTCTCGACTTGCCACTTGCTTTCCTGCATGATCAATATCAGAATATCCATGATGTCCATACAATATCTGCTCGACGCCTTTCCTTTTTCAGTTTTCGATTCTTTGTCTTTTTTTATGTCGCGTCCTTGTCGTCACTTTATTTTAATCATAAACTCATATAATCGCAGCCAAGAAAAGTTTGTCTTCCAGAGGGCGGGCAAGGGAACAAAAACCTTTGTTATGAAAAACTGGTCGTGCAGGGTGGGAAGGAGTGCAGACTATGAAAACATTGCAAATCTTGACTTGGTATGGTGGTCGCATCCAAAAATAGGGAGTCGGGGTTCTTTTATGGGAGGGGCGTCTTTGCTATCTACCGGGCCATCGTCCTAAAGGGGTGAAGCAGGACGATGCTCCTAGAGAAGAGTCACAGGCAAACTAATTAATGTCCTCCTGCCGCTTGGTACAGCTGTTGGGGGAGGGTTGGGGGCCGCCGTGCGGAAAGTCACTCATTATTCATTCCCTACACGAATTGTCACTTTATGCTTTCCTTGAAATCTATGTCAGGCAGAGATATGGCCGAAAATACCCTGCGTCTCCCGTCTATTCCCCTCGGCATGCCTTCAGATGGTTTCTGTTATCTGTCTGGATGGAACAGCGGATTTGAATTTGGCTGGAGCAAATGGACGGCTGGAGGAGGGTTGAAATCAGCAACTGTTGTATTTTAGTGGCGTGGTTGACGTCTCAACACGCGACGATATGTCTAGGCTTGTTTGTCGTAATTTCCTAGCTAGTTTGATTTTACTCTCTATTTTCTTTTTTTCTCTAAACGTTTTGGCTGTATGCTCGTGCGAGTGAAGATGTTACATGTTCCCAAAATTCACACAGAATCCTGGCCTGATGTCAAGAGTGCCTCGCCCATATTTGAAGGCTGCGCGTCGTAAGAGGAGAGAATAGCGTGTGGTTGTTTGTTTGAAAGTGATTCCGCTAGCTAGATGACATTCGTCTCGGCATTCTTTGTTTGAGTCTCTTTGTTATTTTTGTTTCGTTTATGATTTGTTTTTTTTTTAACTGTTTATATCCTTTTAGTCCTTAATTATTGCGTATAAAATAGTATGATGTGGTCTTCATGTTTTCACCTCCGTTTCGCGTTCCGCAGCAAGAAAGCGCCGACGACGCCGGCAGCGATGCCAATGCCGCTAATGATGGCGACGCCTAAGAGGCCCTCCTTGGCGACCTTGTCGTCGATGAGCTGGCGCAGGTCGGTGGCCTGGAGGTTGGCGGGCTCCTTGTCGAGGAGCAAGTCGTTGTAGCGACGGGCCTCGCCGTAGTTGCCGAGCTTGTAGTTGCCGAGGGCGAGGTAGTAGAGGCATTCGCGGCGGCGCTCGGGGGAGACGCGGAAGATGTCGGAGAGGAGGCGAACGCCGAGCTGTTGGTCGTTGCGGTTGTTTGATTTGACGAGGCCCTGTTTGATGATACAGAGTAAGTAAGAAGGAGGGATGCGCGCGATTATAGATGAAGGAGGGATCGGGAGACAAACCCAGGCGTAGTTGAATTTGGTTTGGACGCCGACCATTTCGCCTTCTTTCTCGAACTGGGCGCGCAGGACGCTGAGCTCTGAAGGGTTCAGAGGGCTGGAGAGCGGTTAGATTATGATGCGATCTTTGCGCGGCGCAAAAAAGCGAGGAAGCGAGGAGGAGAGGAGATGTTACGAACGTCTCTGCATCGAGGGCGTCTGTCATGTTGGAGCAAGGTCAGTTAGCTGAGATGAGGTTCTTCAATGATGATGTGCGTCGCAATGTTGCTGGTGAAACGGCAGCGCAAAAGAGAGGCGAGCGCTTTGCGTCGAGAGAGCTGAAGAGGGAACAAGGCTAAGGAGGGTCCGCGTCTTACAGGGGAGTTCTGTAACCATTTTGCTAGGATTCTCGGGTGAGAAGGGAACTTTAGTACTAGGTATACGTATACGATGCGGCGCAAACGAAGGCTCAACTTTTGTTTGAGCTGAGGACGAGGAGAATAGAGGGAAGCAAGGGAGGCGTAAGGTGGCGAAGGATGCCGAGGTCGCTCGTTGATTTCGGTCGATGAGAAGAACTGAAAAAGTAGTAGGGGTTAAGTATTCAAGAAGCGAGACCAGAGGAGGGGGTTGAGGAGCTAATGAAGTAGGATGCAAGGGAGAGAAGGGAAGAAGATTGAATAAAGTAGAGCTGATCGCTTAAGCCGTTGGCGTAGGTATGACTTTCGGCTTTGGAACCGTTTGGTCTCGTGAGTTTTGCCAATGCGGCTTGGCTCTTTGCTTGGAAACAAGATCAAGCTTGGCTTGCGCAAATTTGTGGCTGGAGGGGAGGTACCTTGGCAGTGTGGCGTACCTAGCTGGAGGGGAGATGACGTGGGGTGATTGGGAGCTGTGGCTTGTTGGCCGATTTAGTGGTCGTCCCTGGAGACAGGGCTGCAATATGGAGTGCGTGTTTCTTGGCTAAGCAACTGGTTCGCTTTTTCATCGTTGTCGACTTTTTTTGGTACGCCACTGCGATTTATGTTGAGCAACTGTTATTACTTTCAACCCGCGAGCAGTCAGAAGAAGAAGAAGACTTTTCGAAAACATTTCCCGAAATTTGAATAGGTGCGCAGCTGCTAAGCGTTGAACAACCGCCACAATGCTTCTCGCCGAGGATCCAGCTACCGTATGTTTTTTTGAACGAAAGAATCAAGGGTTATCCATGCTTATCTCCCTCACAGCTCATCCACCACACAATCAACAACTTCAACATCCAGCCCGACAAGCTCGCCGTCGGCCGCATCGGCGAATCGCTCTCGACGCTGCAGCAGGCCCGCGAGCTGCACGTCCGCGACTCCGACTCGACGCTCAAGAAGCTCTCGCGGCAGCTCAACACCATCAACGCGCAGCACGACGAGCTGATTTCGTCGCACTCCTTTTCCGACCACGCGTCGACCATTTCGCGCCTCGACACGCACAAGTTCCGCGTTGCCAAAGCGGCGTCCGACGCTGAGATGGAGGCCGAGCGATTGGCGCAGCAGGCGGCTGATTTGGCGGCACGGCTGCAGGAGCTGGAGCTGCAGGGCGTGGAGGGGTCTGAGGAGAGCCGGAGGCGAGATCCTGTGGACGATGAGGTGTTGCTAAGACTAAAAGTGTATCGCAGCTTGGGGATTGAGATTGAGAGGGATGAAAAGGATGGGGAGTGGGCGCGGGCGGTGATTCGGAATGATAGGAAGGGGGATGTGCATGTGGTGAATATGGACAAGAAGTTTTCGCGGTACTTTTACGCGAATTACTTTTGGCAGTCAATCTGATGGATTGGTGGGATATTGGTTTTTTTGGTGTTAGTGGCTGCTTGTTTCTGGTTGGGGGGGTTTTTTTTATTCGGGAAGATACCATTACGAGGAGTTGGACACTGTTTATGTTTTTGAACATGCGGCGTTTGGAGACATCTGTTGAAAACGATAACAAAGCTCAGGATTTGAAAAATTCAAAAGTATATATCAAATGGAGTACATCGATGTCCATTTTAATTGAACAAATTGCTATGAAGGAGAGAAGTAGAAAGAATAAAATCACAGTATAAATCTAACAAATTTGCAAACTGCAGGCTCCTGATCTTTTGCTTAAAAACGCCCAGTCCAATATCCCCATCCGTGCCGTTGCGCCATGGTACTCAATTTGAGTACAGATTATCATCAACTCAACCTATTTCCGGAGTGATAAGAGTATAGAGAGAAAATCATCCATAGTCTGATAAATTTTTTTAGGTCCTAAACCATTCCACTTTCCATAATCATCATCATCATCACCAAGATAGATAACTCGCAACGCTTGTTCTCTTCTCACGATATCCGAAACAACATTACGGGAGATTCCTTTTGACTGCTTTGGAGTATGTCATGAGAGGAAAATATCCATCGCTGTGATTGTTGCCCGACCCAAGACGCGGCGCTGCCGACGGTGCCCGGACCCTGGAGCTGTTTGGCGACGGCGTCGTCAGGAGCATCTTCTCGGGGCTCCGGGTGCGGCCCTTCATCATGAGAAAGCCGCTCTCGGGCGACCTGCTGGTCGGGCCGCCGGATGCGGTGCGCCGGTGATGCCTGTCGTGCGACCGGTCGTGCAGCAGCTCGGAGCGACAATTGATGGTGGTCCAGGCGTCGTTGTCGTCGTCGTCTCCAAGGCGCCAGCCGCCAACGCCCTCAAAGTCTCGCTCGGCGCCGACGCTGGGGATGAGGCCGAGGCCAATGTCGCTGGCGGGCGTGGCGGTGCCGGAGTAGACGGACGAGCTGGGCCGGCGGCGGCGGTGCCTCTTGAGCAGCGTGGACGAGGCGGACGGGCTGACGCTGTTGGCGCGGCTGCCGATGGAGGACGACGACGATGGCGTCCGTAGGGGCCGAAGATGGGAGTTTTTGCTGCTGGTGATGAAGCCGCTGCTGCTCTCGGCGAGGTGGGCGAGGGATTGCGACACGAGAGAGAGGGCGATGTCGAGGTAGACGACGAAGACGCGGAAGATGAGGATGGAGAAGGCAAAGGTGGTGGTGATGCCGGCGAAGATGGCGAGCGGGATGGTGGTGATGAGGAGCAAGGGCACGACGCAGGCGTAGAGAGGATTGAGGAGCGCCATTTGAGAGAAGTGAATCTCAAAATGTGTGGATTTTTCTGTTAATCAAATGTGGGCGCAGGTTGATGGGGTCATGACATGGCTGAGGATTCGTTGTTTGTGAGTGAATGTTTTGATGAAGTTGGTATTGATCGTCGTTGGTGAGGTGAATGCTCAAATGTCTTATAAAAAGAAATTGAAGTGAGAAGAGCAGAGAATAGCAGAGCAGAGCACGCGACAGACACGCCAAGACAAGAGAAAAGTATCAATGGACAAAAAAATGAAACAGCACAGGCCAAAAGAGGGAAGAGATAAATTCCAATCAAGCCGTCTTTGGATTTTTATGCGTGTTACAGAGGGAAGCGCAAAAAGGGAGGCTGCGATAAGAAGCTTTAACAACGGGCCATGAAACTTTGAGACGAGTTCTGAGCAGGGGGCCAAATGGGAACGGCTAAGCACATGTATGTATATAAAAACGCGGCAGTGGGTCGTCAGCAAAGAGCGATAAGGGAAAATCAAATTGTTGCAATGTTCAGTACCTGGACGAGGAAGAGGAGAAGAAAAAAAAAAGGAGGGAGGGGTGGCGAAAAAAAAAACGAAAGAAAGCTCGGTTATTTAGTAGGCATGCAGTTTAGTAAAGCTTGTGGCTGCTTTGGATCTGAAGGGTCTTGTTTCGTGGGAGGCGTCAAGGTGTGTGTGTGAGGTCTAGGCAGGCCTATGATCTAAGGATTTGGCTGCTGCTACTACTAGAGTGGAAGCCTGTTTTTGGCAGCTCTGGACGAGCAGTAGAAAGGGAGAGTTTTCGATGGGATGAGTGGGTTGCGAATGCTAGCTATCACATGTTTGAGAGCAGCCGGTTGGCCGGATCGGATCCCCGCCGGGCTAGGGTGAGGAGCCAGGGTCGCTGACACGTTAATATTATGGTGCTATTACGACTGCTAATACCACTCAACACTGCGACAAAGAGAGATGGATGGATGGATTCTTGCATTGCATTGCAGTTAATCGGCCTTGATTCATGCTGTGCGGGGAAGCGCCAGCCGGCCGCGGCGCGTGGCTTGTGGCGCGTCTGCTGCTTATTCAGGGCGGGTATGAAGCTTTTGTTAGCGACGGAGATGGGCAGAGTCGAGTCATGGATGCTGATTTGATAGGGATGTATAATCAACTTATCAGTAATACATGCTAAATCCATATGGAATCTCCTACTTTATACCGAGGAGTATCTATAGCGCGGCTGATACTGGATTTGTCGTCTATCCTACACCACGGACTTCACTTACAAGAATGGATGGAATTCGATTCGAGATCGGTCCTGAGTGGGTCACCGGGAGCCCGTTCTCCATCCCCGCTCTTCTCCACCACAAGTCTCGCTCGCCTACTGTTAGACTCTCCAGAGAAGACGATTCACGCTTCGAGCACGCTTCGAGCACGTTTTGATGCACGACATTGCAGCTCGCCTCGATCTGCTGTCTCACTTGATCGCCGCTGACTCGAGGAGGACAAGCCAACCTATACACGAGATCTTGCCAGATCATCCACTTTATTTTCAAAAACTCTCAAGTTTTATAGAAACGATGAGCCTGCGTGCATAAAGCTCTGAGACACATAAGAAATGTGCCAACAACACCAAAACCAAGGCCACGATGGGTCTCCCGCCGCCTCACCCCAATCAGATACAAACAGCCGGCCTCACCACAATGACCCTTTTCCCTGGCATCTCGGCGCCTTTGACGCCCACTGCCATCCCACCGACACCATGAGCTCAATCGCCTCTCTCGCCACTCTCAACGCCCGAGTCCTCACCATCATGGCCACCCGCTCGCAGGACCAGCATCTCGTTGCGCAGGTCGCAGCCGAGCATGGCGTTTCCGACTCAGACTCGCCGCTGAACTATGAAGATGGCTCCAGTTCAGACTCGACTGCTGCTGATCCAACTAGTAAAAGGACATGCAAAGTCGTGCCGGCGTTTGGTTGGCATCCCTGGTTCTCATACCAGCTCTACGACGACACCGCCTCCAATTCAAATTCAGAGGATACATCTACAGAAGACGCCTTCAAGATTGCTCACTACAAAGCCGTCCTCTCACCCACCCCCAAAGACCCATCCTTCCTCTCCTCCCTCCCCCCTCCAACCCCCTTATCCTCATTCATCGCATCCACCCGCAAACACCTCACGTCTTTCCCCCACGCCCTCGTCGGCGAAATAGGCCTCGACAAGGGCTTCCGTCTCCCGCAGCAATGGCTCCCCGACGACGCCTCTTCCCGCGACGAGGGTCTCACCCCCGGTGGCCGCGAGGGCCGCCTCCTCAGCCCGTACCGCGTGCAGATGCAGCACCAGCAGGCCGTTTTGCAGGCGCAGCTACGGCTTGCGGGTGACGAGGGGAGGGCAGTCAGCGTGCATGGCGTACAGGCTCACGGCGTTCTGTATGACACAATAGCAGCGTGTTGGAAGGGCCACGAGAGGAAGATCCTTTCCCGGAGGGAGAAGAAGAGGATCGCCCCGGGGGCCGAAGAAAGCAGCTCCTCTGACGATGATGACGACAATGAAAATGAGCCTAAGAAAAAGAAGAAGACGGCAGCGCGCGGCAAACCCTTCCCACCACGAATATGCCTCCACTCTTACAGTGGCAGTGCCGATACCCTCAAGCAGTGGTTCCATCCCACAGTACCCTCCCAAATTTTTATCTCCTTCTCCACGGCCGTCAATCTAGGCACTGACGGCGGCAGGTCAAAGCTCGAGGCTGTCGTGCGTGCCGTGCCGGACGACAGGATCCTCGTCGAGAGTGACTTGCACATGGCGGGCGAGGAGGCCGAGGCGATGCTCGAGGACATGTATTGGCTGGTGTGTGAGATTAAGGGATGGGATCTGGAGCGAGGGGTTAGGACAATAGGGAAGAACTTTCAAGAATTTATATATGGATAAATAGCAGATGTTCATTTCTTAAAAAGAAAAATTACGAATCATTGAAACTTTCTTTTTTTATCTAATAAAAAAAATGGTAATTTTCTATCAACGTCATGTTGTTGATGACACGCTTGCTTAATTCTCGTCCGTTGGTTGTATACAAACACCAAGGCCCTATCAATTTCTAGTTTTTTTTCCCCTCTCGTGGTATAATTATTATTATGTATTATTAGCCTTTTCGGCTTCATGTCTTCCCAATCCTGATGGTCCATAGTTTCTTTCATCTTCATAATGATTTACTCAATTCCCATCGGGTCTCTTCTCATCATATCTTTCCCTCGCTTCATCATACGCCGGAGGGCTCACGTCCTCAGTGATCCTCGGCGGCAGCGACTCGTCCCTCCTCGCCGCCCTCCTCTCTTCTTCAGCAGCTACCATGTCACTGACTACAGAGGCTGCCTCCTGGAAAGACGCAAGCTCGTCCTCCATCGTGGCATCCTCCTCATCCCGTGAATTGATCAACATGCTTGTCTTTTCGTTAAGTTCAATGTGCTTGGTGCGGAACAAATCCTGGAAATTACAAAGGAAATTCTGGATGCTTTGCTTAAAGTCGGCTCGGCGGGCTTGCCTTTGGCAGCGGCGTTGGGCTCGAGCTTCGCGACGGTGTTGGCGGTTGCTGAGGTTTCTCGCCCGGCGTGTGTGGCTTCGCTGGCGGATGGATCGGAGAATAAAGAAAAGGCCCAGGTGAAAGGTAAAGATGATTGCGAATAGGGGGGCGTAGGTGACGTGCTGTTAGAAAGACTGTTAGACTCAAGTACTCTATTTGAAATCTTTTTCATGTATGAAACACAGGAGAGGATTTAAACGAGGACGGCATTACTTACTCTTCGGGAATGGACAGGTGTTAGTCTGGTAGAGTTGCTATTACGATCGCGGTAATAGAAAAAGTGTTGGCCTCCCTCACCATCCACTTGCATGCTTACAACAAGGTCATCTTCTCGGTGATGGGGATAGCGGTGAGGATGGCGGTGGTGCCGATGGCGGTGATTTTTATCAGGCGAGTATCCGAGCACAGAATCCACCCAGTGCTCCATGGTGCCTCGGAGAGTAGAAGAGGCGAGCCTAGCCGTTTGATAAAATGTCTGCAAGTTGAAGGCTGAAGCTGGGGGGCTCATTCCTAGCCCGTCCAATACTTTCCGCTGCTTGACCACAACGAGTTCTCTAAGCTCGTTGATCTGCTGCTCCATGGAAAGGATGCCTTTGATTTCGGCCTTGACCTCATCGTCGACTTGTGTCAGGCCAGTGACTTCCTTCACCTTCTCCAGAAGCTTTTCTTGGTCGACTCGAGTGGGCGCGTGGCCTTCGGTTGTGTAAACAACGGAATCTCCCCCAATGTCGTAGACTTTGACAGGGGTTCGTTGTCTGAAGCTGGTGAAGAAGGTCGTCTCAGGAACAGCCTCTCCATCCAAAGACATGATTGTCAATGCCAAGTCTTGGTCCCAGGGCACCCGTCGTACGTGCTCCTTGCAAGTGAAGTTCCAGCTCGCAGTGACAGTGTGTCCATCCAGCGAGGCGAATGTGCCCTGGCCGGTGCCGTTGTCATCTTGAGAGAGCAGGAATCCGTCGATTCTTACTTTAGCCTCGTTACAAGCCTCTGAAGATTCTTGGATGTCAAGATTGAAGACCTTTCATCATCGTGAGCAATACAATTCCACTAGATCATGGACAGCTTTGATTTTATCCTCTTACCAGTGTTTGGTCGGTAGTCTTTGCATTCTTGGAACCGCTCGAATCTATAGCAACAGCGACGGAAAAGGCAGAGCTGGCTGGAGCACCTATCCGGATGGCAAGAAAAACAGTATTAGTACAGGTAACGATGAAGGGTTGATGGTTGATTCCACGCATGGCCCTTCATCCACTCCGGATAGGGTACCCCGTCTAGGCGTTTTGCTTCATCTTCTCTCCAACCTCTTTCTGATCCATTGTTTCTCTCTTTGTCCACAAAGACGTAATTCATCATGGCTTATACACACCTCTTGATGTCGGATCCACCGGTAAAGGCCTCGCCAACACCGCCGCTGGCGCCAAGATGAGCGTCGCCGCCTTGCCGAGGCCACGCATCGTGTGGGTTTTCTAGGCAACTATTATCGGACGGCGCCGTATAGTATACTCTCCTCGTCGTATATAGTAGTGCAAAACGGCAACGACAGCCAAGACCCAAAACAAACAAAACAAAAAAGAACAAAATAAGTGGCAAAAGGTTTGCAAACAGAATAAGCTTAATGAAGAAGCCTAGAATCCTGCTCCGCAATAAATGCTTAATAAAAGAGAGAGACGACGTGAGAGACGCGCGTCCGAGTACGAAAGCAAAAAAGGCCTTTTTGGGGATGGGAGCGAATGAGGGAGTGTGGGAAGGGAGAGAAGAGAGGGAGAAGAAACAAAGCGGCTCGTGTATCGCCTGCTGAGGCCGCATTGGATTCTACTTGTACAGACACAAGGCAACGGGCGCCTTACTGGAACAAGCAGATGATGCTCCATTCCATGGCAGCAAAGTCTCCCTTTGGGGCATTCGGCCAGTCCATGCGGGACTTTGGGGCCTCTGGGGGGAGGCGCAGCGGGCAAAGGGACCAGCGACGGGCTTGGAATACGGGCACGCTACAGGCGGTTTGAGACAGATACTATTACGGGGTCCTGTAGGGCGGTTGGCAGCGCTGGCAGCACCACGGCGTGCGCTGGAGCTACAGCGTTACAGCGGCTGACGATGGGCCTGGGCCTGGGCCCGACGGTACCTACATGCTGCACAGGCCCTTGTCGGCAGGTCAGCACCTTGATCTTGGATTTGGACGAGCGTTTGGGCACGATGCGACACCTCCGCGCTACGTGCACCGAAAAGCATCAACAACATGCCCAATCTGGACGGCTGCTGTCCAATGATAACAAAGTCTATTTCCTCCAATCTCCTTGAGTTCCTCACGGTGCGTATCGCCGCGTTGCCCAGGGGTGCTGGAATCGGCCAAACGCTATGAGAAGCACGTCTCAGTTGCAGCAGCACGACGACCATTATTTCACCTCCGTCGAGTTCACATCGTGTACAGTAAGAGCAACTGACCCGCAGCAGGCTAACACATGCTATGCCTCATCATGCCAGCAGCCAATTGTTCATGCCCTCTCCCTTTTCGGTCAACCTCCGTCGCCCTTCTGCAGGCATCGACTCGGCCATCCGAGCCTCCCTCGGCCACACTATTTCTCTCTGACTGACTGACTCTCCTTCGAAAGGGACTAGACTATCTGCGCATACGGTAGTAATGGAGAAATAAACCACAGAAAGGAACGGGAAATAAGAGGGGCCCGATCGCACAACCTTGCCGGCTCTAGAACACCGACCTCGTATGGATGGACGAGGTTATTAAAGATTTTGGGGTTGTGCACCCTTTTTTTGGGCAGTGGCCCCATATACTTGTACGAGAAACCATCAGTCAGCGGAGCTCGACCCGGCGTTCACAGGATTACTACTAGCATATGCTTGGCTTTTTGTTTCAGAGAAGGGCGGGATAGAATTGAGAACAAAGAAGACAAGTAAACCATCGTGGGCCTCAAGTTTTTTGTCTGTGCTTCGGGCATTGCCAAACCGGTCACTCCGCCTGCTGCGCCGCCTCAGCGAAACAAGTTCCAACTGCATCTCCGCCGACAAGCCGTCCAGCCGTTAGCCGAATCACACCAGGAAACCCACTGCCTGTATTCCTCTCCCTCTCTTTGGCGCTCTCTCTTGTGGCTCTTTTGGGTAATGATCAAAGAGAGCTGTTGGTCTTCCACGGAACTGGCGTGCCGTAGAGGGGTGTCTGTGCGCTGTGCAGCAGCTCCTTACATCAGTGTCTGCAAAGCAGGCGGTGATGGTGATAGGCGAGCCCGATTCAGCAGCTAACGCACGGCGATTGCATCAAGGGCAGACGCTACGTGTACACACAAACGTGCTTGTGCTATGGGAGCACGAGAAACAAAGAAGAAGAAACAGAAACAAAACCGCTAGCAGGTTGATGCAACGGCGGCCTGCTTCGGGGAATGCGTGTCCAAGCAAAACACCACTGCTACATACTAGCAGCACCCTTCGTCTTCCCACTTTGACTTCGCGATCTGCGTCCAAAAGACGTCAAAGGATGCTGCCGCCAGGCCCAAGCTGCATCTTCTACCGCTGCTAGCTGAATGCCAAGCCACGGGCGACAAACAAGCTTCTTCCCAAGACCGATCTGGCGTGGCGCCCAGCATCCTTACTCAGGAGCTTATACGAGGTGTCATCTCGCCGGCGGCTCCACAGCCAACTAGCTGCTGTAGACGGGATCGAGACATATTCTTCTTTTGTCACGCCGCATTGCTAGGAGGCATCAACTCGGCGGTTACAGAATACCCCGTTCCTTGTTTACACTGCCCCAGCTTGGTAATTGTTGATTATTGCTCATATTCCATCACAGAATCGTTGCTGGCTGGAGAGTCTATGGGTAGCCGAGGAAGCTGACTTAATACCCGCGACAGTCCAAGTACAAAGTATCCGTATATCCGTCGCACCATGCTCCGCCGAGTGCTTTGATTTTATCACGCTCCAGTTGTCCATTCTGATCTACCTCTAAACTAGATCAAGTACAAACACGCGGGACGTAAACCGTCCTCTGGCCACTTTTTCAACCGCTATGGATATCGGGTCGTGAATTAGCGCGCATGGCTCCTTTTCCTGCGGCTATCGGACCTCTACGGCCACAGCTCCGTTGTCCTCCACGAGACTTCAGACCCTGAGACCTCGGCTCTGTGGTTCCATCTCCTCGCTCTCTTGGGGTCTGACAGATCCACCTGGTCTATCGTCTCTGGAACAATGACCAACACTCGAAAATTCTTTCGTGCCAGCGCATCGTTGACATCTTCCACCTCCTGTCCCAGCCCCAGCCCCGGCTCCGGCTCTTGCGTCAGAGGAGTTCCCGGTGGCGGGTTTCGGAACGAGCCTCTCATCAAGGGGCTCAGGTTGCCAAACCATGAGGTAAGTTCTCTGCTCCAGCTCCACGCATCGTTCTGTTCGTCTGCACCACCGGCAGCCCGCATCCAGGGCTGCAGGGCTGCTCTTACCGGCGCGGCGGCTTCCAACTCAATGTCTGGGCCAATGACATACGCCCGGCCTCGGAGTCGCCACTGAGTGTTGGAGCTTTTCGCCCAGAAGACGGCTTCTACGGGACCTCCCAACGCAGATTGCGGCTCTGGTGGTGCTGATGACGGCTCATGCCTGCCGCCAATGAGCTCGGGTACCTTTTCCATGCGCACGTCTGTTGTAATGGCCGGCAGGTCACTGGTGTAGACGGCCGGGTTCCGCGGGGCCGGATTCCTGTGATTGTCTGGCAGAGAAGCCCACATGCCTCGAAAGATGACGGTCCTAGCCCTAGGCTCAAAACTATCGCCGTCCAGCGGATGGAGCGTGCTGAGGGTGAAGGTGGGCGAGTCCATCTGCTGGATGTGCGAGAGGAAAGTAGAGCGCCATGGTGCCTCGCGGTTGGCCATTGTGTTGCGTTTGAGATGGCTCAGAAGCTGTCTTGTGCGTCTTGCAGGCGTTGTAGACGAGTTCATGGAGATACAGAAACCACGTGGGGTTGTCTCTGAGCGAGAGCAGCTGGAGGGAAGAATTAGTGAGCATGAAGCACTATTGCAATCCGATGATGCGATTTAGGAGCTGGAGCTCTGCTTGGCCCCACTTATACCGAGCATGGCGTCAAGCACCACTGAGAGCAACTGGTCTTGCAAAATGACCTCTCGGAATTTGATATATGTGAATTGTGATACGTCTATAACTCAATTTATATTGCTGCAAATAGAACTTAGTTGTAATGTTCTAATTCGATTCAATCATTAGCTTGTCAAAACCTGGCTCAACATTGCTCGGCGCCATGTTCTCCGCACGTTCAGTGATGTGATTAGTAACGAAGCTAGCCGGTTCAATTAATCAAATAGAGTTACCTACCCTGGACAGAGGCTAATTTATACGCGTTTAGCGATCAATAATTCGGTCTGATATACAGAGTTGAAGAATGGGATGGTGGGAGCTCATGTTGGATTGCATGGGTTCTAATATTGGCGCTTCTGATTGTGTTGGCGAAATACCAATGATCAGCCAGAGGCCACATGCAAACACTTGCTATGCGAGGCAGATACCTATTTGCCCAGTGAATATGCCGAATTAGTAAAGCGATAGGCAGATGCGGCGCATCAGTTTAACCGAACGCGCCAAATCAAGACCGTACCGTAGATTCAGTCCATTCCCACAGCGGCGCCACGCTCAATGCCCTCAGGTGAACCCCAAGCTTGGCTCGAACCGTAGTTGTCGTTGGGAAGAGGCACGGATTAACTGTTGCTGCGAGCAAAGCCTCGAGCTCTGGCTTCAGCCCACCACACCCCAGCAGTTTCGCCTATTCTCTTCTTTGAGAGTCTCAGGTTAAAAAAAAAAAAAATACTCGCTCACCTATCAGCTAGTGCCCTGCGGCTGAGAGCTGGACTTCCCCCCCATTTTCTGCATCTCGTCATCCAATCCAACGGCCGCTCCCACTTTTCCCGCTATAATAATTTGGCTATCCGGCAAACACCCCCCTTCGCAAAGCGTGTTATTTCCAGCGCTCAAATCCGACAACCCAAGAAGGATCAACCATTGAGAGATCCATCCCAAAAACAAGCGTCCGATTTGCCCAGGTCTTATTCCCGGGGGACAAGCGCGAGCGACAGCTAATTATACACCCGCTGGCAGCCAAGGAAGCAACAGAAAGAGAGTCAAACAACAGGGGCCTCACGGCTTAGGGGCGCGGATCAGACAGAGCGAGGCACAATAGACGAAAAAAGGAAAGAAAGAAAAGCAAAAAAAAAAGCACCACGGGTTGGTCGCGGGCGTCATTCCCAAAGGGGACAAAGACCTGCTTGACCGAGGCAACTAGGTAGTTATTCTCGGGAGGGGAGCATCTCGTGCGGATTGATTGATTACCTACGCTGCGTTAGTTGGCATAAGGCGTCTGGTGTGTTGTGCGCGCCGCAGGCTGGATGGATCTGGCGCTCTTCCAGCAAGGCCAACAGGGCCGCTCCATAGCCGTGGGACGTGGCCACGCCTTGCCCCCCAGCTCATTGTCCTTGTCCAACGCCGCCATCGCGTCGCCGGCCTCCGTGGCCGTGTCCGCGGCCGGGCCTCATCACCTGCCGGGCATCGGTGGCGGTGGAGGCACCGGAGCGCTGGGTGGGCTCGACTTTCGGGGCATCGTGTCCCACGACGCCGACGCGACGATGGAGAGTCATGAGAGTGGGCCGCAGAAGAAGAAGCAGAAGCGGAACAAGCCCACGCTGTCGTGCCACGAGTGCGTTGAGCGCAAGACCAAGGTGAGTGAGTGAGCGAGCGAGCGAGCGAGCAAGCGTGTGCGACTTTGGCTGGCTTTGAGACAAACAGACAGCCAACCAGTTGCGTTTCCTTTCCTTGACTCTGGATGGAGTTTTTACCTCTTACATCCACCCACCTCCCTGACTCGTTTTCTTTTATATGGTGTCTCGCGTCATCTCCCCAGACAATGCTATGGCATTGAGGCGTGTGTTCCTGCAGCATGCCGAACTGCGAAGAGGCACCTTCTTGAATCTGCTCGTCTACCAATAACCATCCATCTGTTTCATAACATGATCTACCTTACACCATCTCGTCCATATGACACTTTACAACTAGTTGATACACACCACTGTACATCTACTACATCCACTCTCACGCGTATCACTTGCCCCATCTCCTTACACTTGCTTCATACTGGCCCATTTGGAGTCACTCGAGAGAGTGGTGCTTGGGTGTGGTTACACAAAGATAGGCTAACGTCATATTCCCGGTAGTGCGACAGAGGTCGGCCCCATTGTCTCGCATGTAAGTCACGTCTAGCCTCTTGATACACTCTCACTACAGTTAGACATGGTGTTGACCAACTCGTGTAGGCATCAAGCGGCAGACTGAGTGTAGATATGCGCATGTTGCCAACTTACTTGAGTGAGTATTTATCAACTATCTGCTAAAGCTATCTGAAGATGGCTGTCTAACATGATATCTTGGATAGGGAGACCTCAAGATCGGCTGCCAATGGACTCCGCATGACCAAGGCCCCCAAAAAGAAGTCGGGGTCTTCTGGAAAGCTGCCAGTCCCTAATATCGCAGACAGGACTGTCAACGGCAGCGAAGATACTCCGTCCAGGGGCGCTGTAGCCCTCTCCACTGGCTTGTTATCAAACGTTCCATACTCCGTCGCCACTGCCAGCAATGTGTTTGGAGTTGGTTCGGAACACCCATTCGCAAACTACTGGACATGTGAAGGTGGCCTCCCGGAGGTCATCTCTGTGCTTCCAGAGAAACTCCAGGCAGATATTTTACTCGGTCGATATTTCGAATGCGTCGATCCGGTGTACCCCATGATTCATCGCCAGACATTCTATGCCGACTATGAACATTTTTGGCAAATGTCTATACCGGAGAAGCATCAGGTTGATGCCGCCTTTATAGCTCAAATCTTTGTCATGCTAGCTCTAGGCGCTCAATTTGTCACGTCGACAACACCACAGGAGCGGAAACAGACTGCCGAGTTTTACGCTTCCGCTAGTAATCAAGCTCTCCGGATGTTTTCATATCTGAGCACAGCGTCAATTCGGTCCATTCAAGCCATGGTACTGATGACTTACTTCCTTATCAACGATAACCACGCGTCAGACGGTTGGGCGTTTGCTGGGATATTGATACGGCAGGCTTATGCCATGGGCTTACATCGTGATCCCAATATAGGTATGTCTGGTCTATACTTGCCTAAATATTTCTCTATATTCAGCCTTCTGATTGTGTGCCGTAACTAATGTTGCAATAAATACTCTTTCAGTTACCCCGGATGCGAGTCCATTTGAGAAACAGCAAAGACGCAAGGTCTGGCAGGCAGTCTTATTACAGGACACCTTCCTCACCGTACTCTTGTCTCTACCGCCGTCTGCCACGCATACTGATGTGTCGGTGGATGATTTGCTTGATCACGGATCCTCCATCGCCAGCAGCGACCCGACTGATAATGCCTACATCCGAGGCTCCTGGACGCTGGCAAACCTAGTACAAGAGACCATTTGCTCACCTCGGTCTCTTGATGTGCCCATCTGTGCGACGGCGCGGCACAAGTCGAAACTGATTGCCGATTTCCGGGCTGTTTACCGCTCATTTCCGGACGTATTTCGCTCGTGGGATGCTGAGAGCCTGACGACGTTGGCCGGGACAAACAAACGTGTTGTACGACAGACACTATTTCTCACGAGCAACTACTTTCACAACCTCATGTTGGTCCACGCGTCGGAAAGCCCGGACGTTCCTGTCAACGCAAGGGGCACACTGGAGGCCGCCCACGATGCTATCGGGGCCTTTTTCCTGCTGTTCAGCCTGCTGGAGAGCGAGGCTCGCGTGTGGTGGGTCTTTAACCACAGAGCCTTTCTCGAGGCGTTGTGTATAGGCAACGTCTTGAAAGAAGCAGCCAAAGAGCCTGTGGGTAAGGAACTGCTTGCAAAAGACCCGCTGTTTGTTCGAGCCAAGGCAGACATCAGTAAGTGGCGATTCCCATCTCTCTTCCATTGCCCTCGAATACCGTAGAGCTGTTTGTGTATTTATCGTCCAGCATGCTAATTGTATATGAATGTTCATAGCTCGAATGATACAAATCATGCAACAGATGGCCGAGGACTCCGAAGTTGCCCGGACCAGGGTACAAGTGCTGAGCGAGTTCCTGAGCTAATGCGTTGGGAGAATAGCTTTACGGAAACTTTATTGAGACGTCTCCCAACAACTTGCCTGCGCTCTTGCCTGCGCTTTCAGCTTCTCTTTACTCGCTTTTGCTCGCTTTGTTTTGTACATTCCCCTCTTACAGCGCACGATGTTGGATAACACGTACATATTGGGTACATATTCTGGGAAAGCCAGGTCGGCTGCTGAACTGTTAGTACATCGCTTCCATTAACATTATTCACTTGTTCCTCTTTTCTTCTTATGGCTACAATTACTACAAACGCATGGGGGAACATGAATCATTACGGAATCACTACGGAGTGGAGTGTTGAGGCTCTTTTTGGAACTTATTCGTACCCAGTGCCGCAATGGCTAATTATTGATACTGAATATGAAATGAGTCAGCTACTAGATGAGACCCAATCCTTTGTTGATTTAAATTACGGCATGCCCGCCGATAAAGGGAGAGCGGGTATCTGATGGGTACTTGTACGTGGTCTCATGATCGCAGCCCAAAGTCACTGCGTACAGGTACACGAGCAAGATGGCCGTGCCGCAGTTTCCAGCCCGGGCATCCAGCCCATTCCAGCCGTGATTGAGGTCGGCGACTATCAGGCAGGGTAGGGCAGGCAGGGCAGGCAGGGCTCCAGACCACATGGCAGGCCTGTTGCGCCGAGCCTCTCAGGGCTAGGACCCACAACAGATCGAACAACTATTTTTCTTTTCTTTTCTCTTTCTGCTTGTACTATCTCGTTTATTTGTGTCTGGCGGAGCTGTGGTGGGCGGGTACGAAGCCAAGTACCTTTTATTACTGTAT